ACACACCACATAAACACACCCCTATACACATGCCACACACCACACATGCGATTTCCAGGCTCTTCCACTCCCGTAAGGAATTGGAATCTCTGGGTAGGTCCCAGGAATAGTATTTAACAAACATCCAGGGAAACTGCTATGTGTTGTCATTTTGAGAACCTGTGAGCACATCCCACCTGGTGCCAGATGCATCTCGGCAGGACGCATGCACGCCAGGGAAACAGGCAGACACTGACGGGATTTGAGCTTGGGCACAAACTGGTTCCAAATCTATTTGGTGCCGCTAGAAGCAAGCGTTTCCTTGTGACAGAGGGTGCAGGGCATGGGAGGACAGAGGAGCTGCGTGCACGAATGCCTGTGTGCCCTGTGCCTGCAAAGCGGCCACGGCAAGCTGTCTTGCAGGTCAATTCCACTGGCTGACGGTGTCTGCACTGGCAAGGAAAAGCCTGTGCTAAGCGGGCCTCTGTTGTCTGTGTAGAGAAGGGAGCTGGGCCTGGGCACCACTGTCAGTCATCAGAGCCGGGGCTGCTCCCTCCTCCCCACCGGGTGCTTTGCCTTCTTGGGGCCGCAGCTGGAGGCACCTGAGCCCTCGGGCCGGCCGGGTGTCACTCCAGTGCCAGAGGATGCTAAACAACTTTCAGTTGAAGAGAGAGAATGTATGCAACGTTGAACAGTTATGATTTTGAGCAGAATTTGTTTTCTTCTCTGGACCTTGGTCCTACTTTTTATCCTTGTCTGGGGTCTTAGCGTGGAGAGAAGTTCACCATGGGATGTGATCAGATTGTCCATCTTTTCTTTTTGTCCATCTCTTAAAGTGCAGCTTGTCTTTTGTAAGAAATCTATCCTTGCCCTAGGCAATAAGAATATTCTATATTCCTCATAATAATCTTATGATATTTAAGATTTCCTTTCCTTTCCTCATAATAATCTTAATGTTTTAATCTTAAGTTTGGGGGGTGCTACTTTTACACCATCATCCACATGGAAAGGCAGCTGTCCCAATAACACCCGTTCCTGAAGAGGCCATTCCATGCCAAAGATTGACCAGCCCCAGGACAAGCCAGGTCCTTGCACACATCCCTGCCTGGGAATCCGAATTCTGCTCGACCCCTTGTCATGACTGATGGCAGGTTTATGATCTATCCAGATGCCTGATAGGTGAGCCCTCCCCCTCCTGCCTCTGCTCCCCGAATCGCCATGGCTATCCTCAGACCTTTATCTTCTATGTTTATTACAATCAATTTCCTAACTCCACAAAGAATTCTGTTGGGATTTTGATTAAATACACGGATTAACTTGGGGGAGAGTTAACACTTTGGTGATACTGAATTGTCCCGTCCATAAAAATCTCCCATTTAGGCCTTCTTTTATGACCTTCTATCATGTTTCATGATTTTGTCCAAAACCTTTGTTACATTTATTTTAGCATTTAGGTTGCTGTTAAAATAGTATTGTCATTGCTAGGAATATCACTTTTTGTGGGGTGATCTTGTGGGCTTCTTGGTTTCAATAGTTTATGAATTCACCTGGATTTTCTAGATATGAAAAGTTATTTTTCAATTAGCATGCCTTGTTTCCTTTTTCTTTTCTTTTTTTTTTTTGAGATGGAGTTTCACTCTTGTTGCCCAGGCTGGAGTGCAATGGCTAGATCTCGGCTCATGGCAATCCCTGCCTCCTGGGATCAGGCGATTCTCCCGCCTCAGCCGCCTGAGTAGCTGGGATTACAGGCATGCGCCACCACGCCCGGCTGACTTTGTATTTTAATAGAGATGGGGCTTTTCCATGTTAGCCAGGATGGTCTTGATCTCCTGACCTCATGATCTGCCGCCTCGGCCTCCCAAAGTGCTGGAATTACAGGCCTGAGCCACCGCATGGGCCTTGTTTCCTTTTTCTTTGTTGTGGTAATCACTAGTACGGCCGCTAAATCACACTGGAGAGTAGTGGGGTCCCTGTTCAGTTCTGCTGCCAATGGGGATGGTTCTAAAGGATTTCAGTACTTAAAATTTTTGCTGCAGCCGGGTGCAGTGGTTCACGCCTGTAATCCCAGCACTTTGGGAGGCCGAGGCGGCAGATCATGAGGTCAGGAGATCAAGACCATCCTGGCTAACGCAGTGAAACCCCGTCTCTACCAAAAATATAAAAAATTAGCCGGGCGTGGTGGCGGGCGCCTGTAGTCCCAGCTCCTCAGGAGGCTGAGGCAGGAGAATGGTGTGAATCCGGGAGGCAGACTTTGCAGTGAGCCGTGATCGCGCCACCATACTCCTGCCTGGGCAACAGAGTGAGACTCTGTCTAAAAAAAAAATTTAAAAAAATAAAAAATAAAAATAAAAAATAATTTGCTGTAAAGATTTTGTTAGATATACTTTATTTAGTTAAAGAAATTTTCTTCTACTCCTAGTTGGCCTAACATGACAAGTACATGTTGAATGAAAACTGAATTACTGTTTTGCATTTGTTAAGATGGTGATTTTCCCCTTTACTTTGTTAATACGGCAAATTATAGCCATATTAACATACTACCCTTGCATTCCTGGGATAAATTTACTTGCTTAGAATGTATTACTTTTACTTATAACATACAATTGGGTTTTATTTAATTATATTTCATTTGGAATTTTTGCAT